AAGACGTTGAAATTATGATTGACCCAATTGATAAAATTATTGAAGAAACATTTGTTTATAAAATTGACATGCTTCATAATCTTTCTTTATCATCGAATGCATCAATGATTCGTTACGCGTTAGCATATAAGAACTTCAATCCTAACGAAACATATCCAGAAGAAGAAAATGTGGAATCAAGTTTTGAATTAACAAAAAAGTATTGGAAATATAAAATTGAATCATATAAGAAACAAGATGAAAAAGCGAAAAGAGATACAAAAACAATGTTTCAATGGATGACTATCAATACTATCACGATTTAATCCTTTCATCTAAATGCAAAATGTGTGGTAAAGCGTTTACATATGCAAATAAACCAACATTGGATAGAATCGATAATGAAAAACCACATACCAAAGAAAATTGTCAGTTAATGTGTTGTTATTGCAATGTCGTAAAATCAAATAAAGATGAAGATGTTCAACGTTTAAGAATCAATTTAAGAAATTATGCATTAAAAAATAATTTACCAATGACTTTAGATTCAGTTGAAGCTTATCACATTCTCCGTAATGGAATTACTGGTGGTCTATCAAATGTTCAACATCGTGTTAATCTTAAAGGAATCACGCACATTAATAAACTTTCATATAATCCAGAAACTAAAACTGTATCAAATGAGGACACCACCAACATTATGACTCATTTCGTTGGTGTTGATTTTAATTCATTATATCCTTCATCATTTTCATCTAATCCTCATGATTTCATTCAATATACTGACCATAAAATGTATATGCCGGGAAGATTGAATGGTGTTATCATTTGTGATACAGCAACAAAGAAAGCAAAAGCACTGGGAATAATTAAGAAGAAAAATACTTTATTCGTGGCTGAAGTAAAGGGTCACATTGATGAAAAATACATTAATGATTACATAAACTTTTTACCGATAATAAGAAACTTAGATATTATCACAGATGAAAAAACAATTGGCAGTTTTATGTATAATTACATGAAATCAAACAATCTACCAGTTGACCAGAAACAGAGAAATTAACTCAGTTAGCATCAACACACAACCAATATCAACCATTTTCTTCTTATTATCTTTGGTATCTAATAGACAGATTTCATTTTATCATCGATGATATTCAATCAATTTTAACATTTACTAAAAACACTTGTTTTAATGAATTTGCGAACAAATTTATGAACGAAAGACAAAAGGCTGAATTAGAAGGAAATAAAGGAAAAAGTTTATTTTGCAAGATTTCACTTAATGGATCATATGGTTACGATGCAATGAATACACAAAATTACGCAAAGACTAAAATAATGAATGCACAGAAGGCACGCGTTGCATGTATGTCAAATAAGTTTAAAAACATAAGAGAAATAGGTGAAGATACATATCAAGTGATGCTCAAAGATAGATTTTATAGATGTGATACATGTTTACAAGAGGCATTCTTCACTTTAGATAATGCTAAATACTGGTATTTGGTTTTCATTTATGATTTTATGTATAAATGCATGGATGTTAATCGTTTTCATTTCATTGAAGGTGATACTGATTCATCTTATTGGGCAATCGCTGGCGACCAAATCTTCCTAACACTCAAGCATTTCAAGCAATTGTTACCGATAAACAATTTTATGATAAAAACATTTTCAAATTCGCACCTTTTGATTTCTTCTGTTTTGATGAGAAATTTAAACCTAAATTAAAGAATAAAGCTGAAGAAAAAGCACATGAGAAAAAATTATTGGGTTTAGCAATTGAGAAACAAGGTGATAACATGGTTGCTTTATGTCCTAAGTGTTATACATCATTCAACGGTTCAATTGATGGAAGTGATTTTAAAAAGATTGCACAAAAAATGAAAGGTGTTAGTTTACGACAAAATAAACAATTAACACCTAAAAATTATTTGGATATAATAAATGATAAATTGATATTTGATGGTCAGAATATTAATTTACAACTTAAAAACGGGTTAATGACTCGCTTAACAATTGGTAAGACTGCATTAACAGGAGCACACACTAAGGCTGTATGTTGTGAAAATGGATGTTGTATGCCATTTATTTAATAAAATACCACAGAAGAGACAAAAGGAACCGTTAATGATGGCTTTGATACTATGATTCAAAGAGGCGGGCACCCTTAAAACATTGATTTTATTTTTATATAAATGAATAACACAGATTTAAAAATTTTAATTGATGATTTAGTACTTAATCAAAATTTTCTTAGTTATTACGATTTAAAAGCATATCTCCAAAAATATAATAATAATATAACGGGTGATGATATGGAATATTATTATCCATATTATAAAAATGAAATTTTGAAATATCATAATAAAATAATTTCTGAAATTAAAGACAAAATTAAAAATAATGAATATTCAAAGGGAAAAACTAAATCACAGCTTAAACAGTTGAAAGATTTCAAAAATAAAGTATTAACAGAAGAAGATATTGATGAATTATATAAATTATATAATCCTGAGCTGCAAAAACCAAAGGAACAAAAACAAAAGGAACAAAACACCCAGGTCCTTCAGACCATAAATGATGCACAAGCTTTAATTTATGATTCATTAGTTAAACCATATTCAGCCCGACTTTTAAATGAAGATCAACTTTTGGAATTCATCCTTCAACATAAACTCGAAGTGGGAAAGTATATCAAACCTTTATATACAGCATATTTAAAACAAATGAATAGAATACATCCAGAATTAATGAAGGAAGGAATGAAATCCAAAATCAAAGCAGATAAAATTAAACCACTTGCAACACCAAAACCTCCAACGACAGTACCACCTCCTCCTTCAGTTAATCCTTCATCATTCACTTTATTATATCCATTTCAAACATTAAAGAAGCAAAAAGATTTTAAAAAGGATTTCAAGATATTAAATAAACCAATTGACCCGAAAATTCAACCGTTAAAGGAAAAATTTAGTCGCTCCTCATTTGCTCCATATCAATATTCATACGAAATCGATCATCTGGAATATTCAAAAGGAAAAGTTACTTATTTATTTGCCATTAACATTAACACTAGATATTTATATTGCATTCCGGTGAAAGGGAAAACAGAACAGGAAACAAGAAGAGCTATTCAATACTTACTAGATCATGAAAGAGTAGATAATATCAGGGGTGATGGTGATAAAGGATTTCAGGCAGCTATGACTCATTATTTCCCACAAATTAATTTTTACTTTTCATCCTCTCCATATACGTTTCATAATAAAATAGTTGATGCGGTAATGAGAACTCTTAGAGATGCGTTAGGGGTTAACGGTCAGATATACTGGGATGGAAATCATGACTCCATCATACAGCAGTTAGTATATTATTACAATAATACATGGCATAGAACTATAAACATGAAACCGGTGGAAATGAAAAATGATATTTCAAAAGAATGGGAATATATTAGAAAGCAAATGGAAAAGTTGAATGATGTTAAACGTGAACAAATTAATTCGGGGCTCATGAATTTTAAACAAGGAAATAAAGTTTTAATTCATCTCGATTATGGAAAAACTGATAAATCAATGACAAAAAGAAGACGAAGATTTGACACAATAGCTGAATTTGTTAGATATATTAACGGCAATGCATTAGTTGAGTTACAATAAATTAATAGAAATTCCGATTTATTTTATTACTCCATTATATTTAAATAATATTTAATTTTTTTTATTTCGTAAGAAATGAGTGACAACGAAGCAGTCAAGAGTCCAGACGATGAATATAAAAAGAAACTAAACAGAATTAAATCAAAAATATGCTATTACAAAAAGAAGCCACAATGCGGTGGGGTTGATGCCCATAAAACTAATGGAACTGAAAACGATAAAGAAATAATCGAAAAATTAGAAACTTACCGTTCAATCCTTAAACTGAGTGAAGCAAAAATAAAAGAAGTTAATAGAATAAATAAATTGATTGGAAGAGATGAATTTAATAAAGATGAATTTTTAAACTCAATCCAAATTTAATTTTTATTCCTCTTTGACAACATCTCTCTTTCCATCATTACTGCATAACCGCATTTTCTCAATTTTAGTGGTTTGTTATTTTTAGCAAGTTCTCGCATCATTTTTATCATTTCCTCCCTTGTTATGATTCGTGGTAAATTTTGAGCTTGTGGGGTATTCATTTATGATAAAAATAAAAATTTAAATTATGCCGTTCTAAAGTTTGAGACAACATGACATTTTGACAACATCACAGGAGGAAGGCAGTTATGACTTATTTTTGAAGAACTGAAGGTGTCACCAGGTCACCAGGTCATTTAACTCATGACATTTTGACAACATCACAGGAGGAAGGCAGTTATGACTTATTTTTGAAGAACTGAAGGTGTCACCAGGTCACCATGTGTCACCAGGTCATTTAACTTCTTTTAAAAAATGAGACAACATGACATTTTGACAACATCACAGGAGGAAGGCAGTTATGACTTATTTTTGAAGAACTGAAGGTGTCACCAGGTCACCAGGTCATTTAACTCATGACATTTTGACATCACAGGAGGAAGGCAGTTATGACTTATTTTTGAAGAACTGAAGGTGTCACCAGGTCACCATGTGTCACCAGGTCATTTAACTTCTTTTAAAAAATGAGACAACATGACATTTTGACAACATCACAGGAGGAAGGCAGTTATGACTTATTTTTGAAGAACTGAAGGTGTCACCAGGTCACCAGGTCATTTAACTCATGACATTTTGACATCACAGGAGGAAGGCAGTTATGACTTATTTTTGAAGAACTGAAGGTGTCACCAGGTCACCATGTGTCACCAGGTCATTTAACTTCTTTTAAAAAATGAGACAACATGACATTTTGACAACATCACAGGAGGAAGGCAGTTATGACTTATTTTTGAAGAACTGAAGGTGTCACCAGGTCACCAGGTCATTTAACTCATGACATTTTGACAACACAGGTACGAAAAGAGGAAGGCAAAAATAAATTCCAATCATACTTTATAAAGCTTCATTTACAGGTATTTCATCGTCAGTAAATGAATCCTCTTTATCGTTTGGTTCAACCTGTTTATATAATCCTTTCATTTCTTCTTTCAAAACATAATACCATGTTTGTTTACCATCTATTCTTACCTGTTTCCTATCACATTTATCCTTAATGCTCATTTGGAAATTCTTGTCTTTCATGTCTGATGGTTTGCAGAATAGAGCATTTTTACACGTCATACCTGCACACAATTCATCATAATGTGTATTTATCCATTCATCTAAAGGATTTGTTGATAACTCGATTAAATCTTGTTTGGCTTCAGTCATCGGTATGATTCGTACATTAAATGATGAAAGGTCATATTGCATAAAATACGTTAAAAGGTTATCATAAAATTCCTTAGTGCATGAATCCATTAAATTCTTGAAGTAATCAAATTGACCCTTGAATTTACCATTAACTCTTAAAACTACGTATCTTCTGTCTCCAACTTCAATTTTGACAGGGTAGACGTTATTAGTTACCAAAATGAAGTTTGCAACGTTTTGTGCTGTTCTTCTGGGTTGATTCTTTTCATTAATTCTAATCTCATTATCCGTAATAATTGATTTCAAAGCGTTGAAGTTTGCGAGTCTGTCTTCACCTACATTCTTGAGTTCATTAAGTACAAGAAACATTTTATTTTCAACTACTGAGTTGAAATTACCCGTTAGCTCACTTATTTCAGTAATGTTTTTACATGAATAACCAGCGAGAAGTTCAGAAATAATGTCTGTGAATCTGTTTTTACCTGTTCCCTGAAGTCCTTTCAAAATAATTGCTGTTTCATTCTTGATTCCAGGATGTTGAATCATTGATGCAATCCAACCGAGTAGGTATTTATACACTTCATCATTATTATCACAAATGGCTTCTTTAATGAAATTCATAAACATCTCAATTTTTGAGTAATCAGGCTTTTCAAGAATGTTGTATTTATAACCCTGAAACGTTGAGAAAACATCTGGGGAATCAGATTTAAAGCAAACACCCTTAACGGTTAATGAAGACAATTGATTTAATAGTACATCCCATGCTGTTATGGTTTTACCTTCTTCTTTAAATAATTTAATCATTTTAAGTGACTCTTTCATGTTTGACTGAAGAACAAATGATATTTGATTCATTTTGTCGTGTATGTTGTAATCTTTCTGAATGAAGTATTTATTTCCACAATCTACAAAACGAATTACACGTGATAAATCCTCAATTACTTCAGAACTGTTTTTATACTGATGATTTTCAGCCTTGCGTCTAATATCTGTTATCAAAAACGAGTCATCAAGTTTTATATCAAATGTTATTTTTGGCTTACGTAATAAAGGTAAAACATATTCATCATAATATTCCTTTTGATAAAGTTTTAGAATCTTCACTAAAACAAATGGAGAAGTCATTAAATGTGCATATCTACTACGTGCTTTTTCAAAATTACTTTTTGCATTTTCAGTTAAGCTGCAGAAGTTATAAACGTTATCGTATGCTTCATTAATTAAATGATTAGGTAACGAATTAATTGCTTGAAACAGTGTGAATAATGTAACTTCTTTTTCTAAATTCATGTTTCCACCATCATTATGTACTTCAAAATCACAGATGCCATCAACTATGCTCTGGGCAAGTTTATCGTCAATGTTTACATCTTTGTTTTCATTCATGATATTCTTTATTTCTTCGTTCTTCTGTTCAACTCTTACCTTAATATTCAAATCATTTAATATATCGTTTACTGTTCTGGTTAATGTTGAATCATAACTTCCACGAATGAATGAGTATGTATTGATTGGTTCTGATGCATTCTTGCGAACTCTTGATTCAGCCATAACCACTAATGAACGCTTTGAATCATCCATAGAAGTCATGATATCAATATCATAATCATTGCAGGAATAACATTTAATCATTCTGTTCGAAACTGCATAGAAGAAATTAGTGTTGCAATAAATGTGAAGACCTCCTGAAGCGGTTTTAACGATAACATCTTTATCCGAAAGTTTTGATAAAAAATATCTTTTCTAACTGTTTCTTTAAGTTCATCATTGTATGATTTATTGATATCAACATCTATAATCGTTAAATTTGAAATTTTATTTACTAATAAAGCCACACCAGTTTTCCTTCCTCTTCCTCCATCATGTTTGAGGTAGTTATGTAAATCAATCTTGTTTTCACCAATTCTTTCGTTGAGGGTTTTAGTTTCTGCCACAACTAATTCCTCAGCTAATGAATCAATAACTTTTTCATCAGAAACGATATAGTTGCTGTTGTTGTTTGTTGCTGTCATTTATATAGGAATAAAAAAATAAAAATAGTTTTAAAACTAACTTTATTTTTGGACTGCATCAAATTTCCAGGACTGTTGTCAAAATGTCATGTTGTCTCATTTTTTAAAAGAAGTTAAATGACCTGGTGACACATGGTGACCTGGTGACACCTTCAGTTCTTCAAAAATAAGTCATAACTGCCTTCCTCCTGTGATGTCAAAATGTCATGAGTTAAATGACCTGGTGACCTGGTGACACCTTCAGTTCTTCAAAAATAAGTCATAACTGCCTTCCTCCTGTGATGTTGTCAAAATGTCATGTTGTCTCATTTTTTAAAAGAAGTTAAATGACCTGGTGACACATGGTGACCTGGTGACACCTTCAGTTCTTCAAAAATAATTAATTATTGAATAACCTAAAACCATTAACATAAACATTAACGATAAAATATATTTTTGGTCGTTTATGATAAAAATAAATGGTTCATTTACTCACAATATTTTTGTACAAAACGACCCCAAACTTTTAACTTCTTTTCTGTAGTTTCTAATGCTATCTTAGCGAGTTCATATTCTCTAAATTCTCTCTTTAAATCTTCTTGTTCCCATTGGTCTAGTTCGTATGAAGAATCTCTATAACCATAACATATCTCGCGTTCATGTTCTAATTGTTTTTCACACATTTTTCCAACTTCTTCTTCAAACAAATGTTTAGCATTCTCCACTGTATCTTCGAGTTCTTCTTCATCTAATTTCTCATGAACTTTCTTGTCTATGGAGTCCATAATTTTTCCAACTGCTATGCAATATTTTGGAGAAGCCCACATTGTTATATAGTTTATAAGTCTTGGGTCTACATACGTTCCTCTAACCTGTTTGATTTCATCAGAAATTCCCGCATGAATTTTGTATAAAAAACAACCGTCTGAATTCCGGCGGTTGCTATATTCTTCACAAAATGCCTTATAATACTCTTCCCAGGACTTATTTTCCAACAGCTTTCTAAAGTCTTTCCTAAACTGCTGACACATCTTTGTTGCATTAATGTAACCATCCTTGTCTCTACGTAAGACTTCAATACCATTATAAGTGCCTTTTATGAATGTTTCGCCATTAGATTTGTTCGTGAATGTTTTTGCTTCGACTGACATTATTGTCTTTACATACAAAATAAAAAATAAAAATAATTTTAAAACTAATGAAATTAATTATTTTTGGACTGAATTCATTCATAACACCATTAATAAGCTCATAAAATGCTCGTTTTGAGGTTGAGCCACTTTTGGCTCGACCGTATTCTTTCATCCAAAACTCAATAAACAATTATTGAATAACCCAAAACCATTGACGATAAAATATATTTCTGCAGTTCATCCATTACTTCATTACCTAATTAATTACAGACATAAAATATATTTAGTTCATTCAATGAACGCAGTACCATGCGAATACAGTCATAAACGGAGGCATATAATCTTCGCCCAAGCCTGTTGGATTTGTTGTGAAAGTGTGTGAATGATTTCCTCCTGGTTCAGTTGGTCGAAAAGTCTTTTTTGCTGAATGGTTATAATCTGGAGATAAAACGTCATAGCCAGCATAATATTCTGAGTTGTATAATGGGTGGTCTCTTAATGAGTGGCTATGGTCGCCAGAAAAGTTTGTCGTTCCTGTATGAGTGTGCGGTGGAAGGTTTGCTTCTTTAATTTTCTTTGAACCTCCTGTTTGCTTTGAAGAGTTAGCACAGTATAAGAATTTGTCTACAATCTGTTCCCACGTACCAAAACCTAAAACTGTTGCTGGATTTGTTGAGTTCATTGATGTATAAATAGAACCAATGGGGTAAATCATCTCAAGAATTGTATTTAATCCATTATGAATATTGAATTTATTATATAATATTGAATATTGGAGAGTATTTAAAACTGGTCTTGTTATCAATATTAACGTATTATTTTTGAAAATTGCTTTTCTAACATCTTGAAATTTTGTGATTTCAGACCAATTTCTTCCATCACTACTGATATTTACTAAATCACCACATCCTAAAGCAATGAAATACCCATCAATATAAAATAAATTAGTAAATCTATAATTTCGAGTAAATTTTGGAGTGAATGAATAAACCAATTCCCAATTTGATAAATCCCGTGATAAATAAATATGTCTGTTATAACTTACAGGATATGAATAGACCATTTCACCTGAAACGAGAACATAAACATTTGATCCATAACATAAAGCTTCGATGTCTCCATCAGCTTGAAAAATTTGTTCAAATTGACCTTGTGATATTGAAGATGATCTATAAATTTTATCATTTTGTAGGATAAAATACATGTTGTTAATGTAATACCACTTACTTGTATAATCAATTTTCAAATCTGATGACATCATACTAAACATATAATAATTTATCCCATCCTCACTAATGAAAATTTGATTGACTTCATAAATGAGTACCCATTTATTATTAACACATCTAATAGGATTATTTGGATATTTAAATTTAGCATCTTGATTTAAATTACATTTGAACCATTGGATACAATCGAATGAATAACAAGGGTAAAAATCATCTCCAACCGTTATCATTCCCATAAATTTGCTGTTATTATATTCAACATATAAAATTCTTGGATTAATGATTGGCTTTCGTGTATCAGGATTCAAAACAGATGGAGTAAATGATTTATAGTTTTTAAAATCATTTGTTTTAAAATAATAAAGCACTCCAGCTGTATAAAATAAATACATGGTCACTCCATCGAAACATATCCATTCAAAAGAATCTATATCAAAGGTTTTATCTGATGATTTCATAAAATTTAAAAATGGTGGAGTAAAATAGACCTCTGATTGTTTTATTTCTTCATTAACATATTCCTTATCCGCTTTCTTCTCTAACTCACTAGCCACATATGTTTTATCCGCTTTAAGGTCTAAACATCCCGAAACCCATCCTGTATCAGCTTTAGTTTTTAAAATCTTTGATGTCCGTTCATGATACCATTCAACCCTTTCTTTAATTTCATTATCTTTTTCATTAACATATTCCTTATCCGCTTTCTTCTCTAACTCACTAGCCACACAGTCCTTATCCGCTTTCTTCTCTAACTCACTATCCACATATTCCTTATCTGCCTTCTTCATTATGTCATTTAGGAAACCTTCTATGAATTCCTCATTTAAATTAAATCTTCCAATCTTCAAAACTTTAGGAAATGCATTTAATGCGTAATATCTTTGTTCTTCTGGTGGAATTGATGTTATATCATCCGTTATACCTTTAATTTTAGAATTCATAAATAAAATTTCTTTTATATTTGATATCACTGCACCACCTTTGCAAACGAATTCGAAATGGTCATTTTTCAATACTATCTCCAAATCTCCATATTTCAACCTTTGCGTTTGTTCTGCCGTCTTTGAATTATATGCATATATGGCGTATGTAATGGTCTGAGGGACCTGGGTGATTTGCGCCTTAAGTTGCTGTGGTTTAATCATTTATTATGATTTAAAAATAAATATTTAATCTGTTATCTCATCAGCTATTTTTTCTATTTGAAATTGCCATAATATTTCATTCATGAATTCTAAATCACAATCAAATAGGTCAGTTACTCTAAATTTAATATTTGATAAATCTTTTGAATGAAGAATAAATGAATTCCCGGATAATTGAAACGGATATGATAAAGAAAATGTGTTTAAGTTGATGGATAAAATGTTTTGTATTGATGGGTAAGAGTTAGGGTCTAATGTTTGATGTGAAAATCTCATTGGGGTATTAACTTTATCACATTTGATTAAAATGAAATTGGAACCAGTGTCAGAATACAAAACATCCCCAACATCTTTTTCAAAATTTAATATCCCCAACAATGAACGAAATGAGGAGTACAAAATTTAATTTTCAGTGGAAATTTAATAAGGTTATTTATTTCATCAAGTTCAAAAAGTTTATCAGGTTTTGATTTAAAATTTTCTTCATACCATACGATAAATGATTCATTTAAATAACTTAAAATCATGTTAATATCCCATTTCGCTATCACATTATTTATATACATATCATACGTTTTTTCACGGTCATCTTTAATAAATGATATATAATCTGAAGGGTCTAAAAGAATGGGATTAAATTTACCACTCACAGAAACGAGAGTAACATTATAAATTCCGCTAACTGTTAAATTTAATTCACAGCTATTATTCGAAATAATATTGATAATTGACATTTTTATTACGATTAAAAATATGGTAAAGCGTTATTTTCCAGTGATAAATAAAACTAGAATAAGATTACCTCAAGAATTCATAAATTCAACGAATAAGAAATTCATTCATGTTATAAATTTTAGTGTTTTCAGAAAATATGAGTCGATGTCATATTCATCATCAGGTTATATTTCACTTCATTCAAATTTAGTTCAATCAAACCCATATAATGACCATTTCATAAGATTTTCAGATGGTATTAAAAATGTAATTGATAGATTAAAATATGAACAGATTGACAATATCGAATTTTTGGAATTTTGGTTTAAATATCCTGATGGAAAAAAGATTGAAGTTAAAGATAAAGCTGATACTATAACAAAAACAATTACAATGACCGATCCAGATAGTGGGGAACAAAAAGAAATAAAACAAACGATAGAAACTGGTGAAAGGTCAATTATTATTGATTATGATTCAAAGGATTATTATTCAATAATGTTAATGCTTGAATATTAAATGGCCTTAACAAAGAATTTTTCAAGTGATATTTTATATTCATCAACTATTTTATTATAAATATCATTATATGTTAAATGAAGTTCAGTTGTTGTTCCGTTCTTTGATATCTTAATTGTGCTAATATCCTTTATAGGATTTATTTTTGCAACTGTTCCGCAGCATGAAACCTCATCATCTATGAAAAATTGAATCTTAACGTCTGAATCTTGAACATCACAAAGAATGGCGATAATGTGAATTAATGATTCATAAGGTAAAATAATTAAACCAGATTGGTCAATTAAATTTATTATTGAATCATAATTATTAATTATTATATCACGGTAAATTTTCATTAATTCAGAATTAATGTCTACTTTATATGGCGCATTGCGACTGGAATCGTAGATTCCTGGGTTCTCGATGTTTGATGAAAGAGGTGGGGGGTATGTTGGATATGTGGGAATTTCAACGGGTTCTTTACCGGGTTCAGATAAAATGATTGGGTCTCCATCTTCTTTATTTTGCTCCTCCTCCTTTTTCGGTAAGTCACAAGTTAATAAATTTGGTTGAGTTGCTGACCCTGTTAATTCGGGGCTAACATTAACTTTAACATTTTGAATAATTCGTGATTTATCATCATTTACGTTATAACCAACCGTAATCTCTGCTTTTGCGTTAGTGTTCTTTTGACTAGTGAAACGTCTTCTCATTTATAATCGAATAAAAAAAAGAAAAATATATTTAAAGTTTTATTTAGTTGTTACGGTAATATCCCAAGGTTCATCATTGTTTGCTTATACTTTCTTTGTAACTGCACCAATTATGTTATTGATATTGCTTTGAGTTTCTTCCAGTCTTATTTTATCATTTACAATATCTTTAATCATTTCATTACATGCATTCTTAAAACCATCTGATTTTTCTAATTTACGTCTATCACTTTCTTTAATTAAATCAAAGTTATAACCTTGTTGAGAATAAAGTGGTTTCTTTATCAATTCCTTGAACGCTTCTGAAAGTGAAGATGAAGAAATTCTTGCCACTTGAATTGGTTTAAATTCTGCTTTCATTGCTTCTTTCTGTTCATTGAACACTGGATCGAATAAAGCAACTTTAAAGAATTTCTTAGCTGGAATCTCAGGTCTCAAATTTGCATATTGACCATCAAACTGATTAACATATCGTGGTAATCCATCCGGTCCCTCTTCAATAGCATTTAATTCTTCATTGAAATAAGAATATGGATTATACGGTATGAATTAATTGGACCATTTTCACCTTCTCCAATGTATTGTTTAACAGCTTTTCCATTTTCATCAAATTGCATAGGATAACGTTCATTATATGCTTTACGTTTAGGATAATCCGTCATTGTTAATTTATACCCATTTATGACTTTAATATTACCTTGACCATCAGTAACGAAAACTTCATTTATACCATCGGGTTTTCCATTTGGACCCGTAATGTCTGCTTCGCGTGCTTCCCAATTTGGACCATGACGTTTGGCATATGCTTGAGCTTCTGGTAATGTTAAAACGTTTCTCATTTGTTTAACATCCTTTTGAAGACCGGCAACAATGTGGACTAATTCTTTCATTCCGTCTGGAACTTTCATAGTTCTATTATATGCACCCTTTTTGTTTGTCCCTTGTTTTAATGGAACCTGTAGAAGATTTGCTATTTCTGTCATGTTTAATTATAAATAAAAAATAAAAATTAATTATAAAAAGTTAATCAAATTTAATGGAACCTTTATTTAAATCAACTATTATTTTTCCATGTTCTCCTAATTGTTGATATTGTGTGTAAAGTTCATTAATGCTCATTGGTAAATTCACTTGATAAAGCATAACGTTCAACTGTTGACGACTAAAACCACTGAAAATGAAAAGGGTGGACAGGTTTGATTTAATGTTTGTGCTTAATGCTTTGAAATATTGAACAGCCATAAAGAATGAACACTGAATGTGTCGACATTGAGTTAATAATTGATTAAAATATGATTTCTCATTAGTTATTAGTTTTGATTTCACGGCATCATCTAGAAAAATGAGTGAATGCAAAAATTCTCTATCAAAATTTGAAATAGAAAGTGTTTCAAATAATTCGTCCCGTTGTTTATCAATAATTTTATCCTCTAATCCTTGCTTCTTGATTGTATTATATAATTCTTTATACATTAAAAAGTTTTTTAAATAATTTTCTGCTTCTTCTTGTGATAAATAAATAATTGGAATTTTGATTAAATGCTTTAAAGATTCAAATGTATCATCTGAAGGTGAACCTGAACGGTTGATATAAATTAACACATGTGAATAGGGGGAAGTGTTAGCAATAATGATAATTTGTTTTAATATCGTTAATGTTTTACCTTTATTTTGTTTACCAATTGCTGCAGTGATTGAATTTAAATAACATTCAGAATATGGAATTTTCATTAATTTTTCCTTAGATAGAGCATTTCTATTATCACTCAATGCTTCATTAATCATATCATCTACGTATGTATTATATACTCCTGCTAATTCTTCATAAGGGGTGGATGAATTTAAATCCATTTAATCAAAAATAAATTTATAATTTTAAACATTTCTATTCATCAATATTTCATCATATGAACTTCTATACTGTGGTGGTGTACCTGTTGGATGATATTTCAAACCTTCATCCGGTGTCCATGTCCAATACGTAGTCCTAGTAAACCAAACCTGAGGAGGATTTGTCACCTTTGAACAGTAAGTGTCATTTTTACCCTGAATGATTGGATAAGCTTTCACTTGTACTGTAACTTGTGAGTTAAAAGTTTCTAATCCATCAAAGAATATACCCACTCCATCACGTTGAACTGGAATAGTGCATAAGAATGAGGTTTGGTCTTTCCATGTTCTAGTTAATGGCGCGCCATCATCATCATTCAGCGGTCTAGTTAATGAGTCCTCGTATTCTTCCGTGCATTCATTCACTCCATCTAAATCAGAAGCTTGAAGCATACGTGTAAAGAATATGTCGCCCACTGTGGTCATCGCTTGATCGGGGAAGTTTCTTGAATCTATAGTGACCTGAAGACCTCGAAGCATTGGATTTTCTAAAACTGTTCTTTGCATTGCATTTTTCGGAAATGTTAACACAACATCTGTAACATTATGAAGAGCATATGAGAAATCTGAGCTAATACCTTCTGGAGTGATGCAACCTCCATTTAGTGAACGAACGTCAATATGTTGAGCTGGTATCATGAATGGATCTTCCTTACTGAATAAACGTGGTATTGCTTTAACTGATTCTTCAATTAAACCGTATCCTGGTGTAATACATTTATCCTCTAAAACTTCCATCTTTGTGCATGAAATAATAACGTCATCAACTGTTGCGTCAGCAGATGTAGCGGCTAAGCTTGTAATTAATTTGGTAGGAAGTCCAATTTGTTGGAATTTGCGATCATATTTATAAACATGATTCATAATCTTTTCATAATTTTCATCAGTTATCTTTTCATAAACGTAATTTTGTAAATCAGCAACTCTTAACGGGTCAACCTGACAAAATACTAAAGTATCCCTGAAAACATAATATTT